AAAACGGTCTTGTATTCAAGTAAATACAGTAATTGTTTTCAGCTTTGTGAAGGGGGACCTTTTTAAAGCAGCAAATGTATATATTACAGGTCGGGACTTCATTCCATTTGCACATAACAATGTAATCTAGTCATTACCATTTTACCCAGGCACAGGCTAATTTTTAATTCTTCCCCTACACCTGCCAGTGGGTCTAATACAAAACTCCTCCATATTGAATGAAACAGTCTTTGAATTAGAAAAATACTGTCTATAGTTCAACAATAGACCTGCAATGATTAAGTTAAAGCAATAGAGTGGGCCGGTGATGTTACAAATGCAGAAGAGGACAGAAATAGTAGGAAGTCTTGATTTAATAGTTAGTAGTAGTAGTAGCAGAAGTTTTCCTTTTGTGGTAGCAATTGGGGGCCTCAGGCAAGAATTAGGAAGTTAGATGTCTAACATTTTGTGACACCCCTCAGCAACCTTGAAAGGATTTCAAGGCATCCAAAGGTGTCAGGGCGCTCTGGTTGAGAATCACTGGTCTAAGTGTTCCACACTTGTATAATGTAGAGGTTTTTTGCTTCACATAACCTGCAGTCCAAGTATAAGACAAAAGAAAATGGCTTGACAACTAATATCTACTAGTTATATCTTTTAGAAGAACTCAAGGTAGCAGCTGTGTCTAGTGAAATGGGTATGAGTAACAATGCTATCTGGCCATTATGGAGTGTTTTGTAAGCCTCTCAACATAACTTTAAATATTGGTCAAATACTATGGCTAAATGAGGCAAATATTTCATTTAAATTCTTCTCCAACATGGAAGTTTTTAAAGCTGAGCAATAAATACTTAAATGTAATAATGGAAATGCTTGATGGATTTTTAATCATAATAGTTTGAATATGTCCATTGTCCATGCTGTAAACATTGCTCCTAACCTAAAGTCTGGTGCTTCCTAGCTGCAGACCTTAACTCCTTTAAGGCATAATAAATACAATAAAGTTGCTGGAGTCTGAGGTCAGAAATGGCAGAATCAGGAAATACTTCCTCTGCTGCTGTTGTAAATTCTGACATAGAAATAAACTGACTTTACAATTTGCTTGAAAATTAGTTCTTCATCGTCATTTTTTTCCATCATTGTTCTATCTGTAACTCCGTGTGTACTAACTTTTGGTTAATACACTGTAGTTTTAAACAGAATCATTTTTCATATCCTTAGTTTAGATGCAGCACTGACATTGTACTCATTTTAATGTCTGAAATTAAGTTTTCAGTGGTCCCCAATTCTAAAAAGATTTTTTCTTCTCTTATTTTAGTATAATTTTTTTTCCTGCTTTGGATAATCAGAAAGATGGAGTCTAGATCACAATTTGGCATATCTTGTGATGGATTCACGGAGGTTCTCTAGTATTGCCCATATGAAATATGTCTTTCCAAATGAGTGCTATATTTGTGAAGTCTGGGGTGAAAGCTCCATCCTCCGTCTTGAATATAATTCATTTTAACTTTCATACAAGTGATAAATATTATTATACTCTACACATGTACTCACACGCTCAGTGGTTCAGAAGCTTTAGTTTAATTAATTACTTTCGTTAGTATTTCCCAAATCCATTTTTGTTTAGACTATGGTCTCAATTAGTCAAAGGTAAATCTAAGAAGCCAGCATGTGTTATTGCCCGATTTACAACTGTAATCCTCTTATAAATGACCATAAAATATTAAGTTAAAACAAAGACATAAAAGGTTAACATTTGATCCAAAATATTTAACATCAAGCTTATTTTTTCTGTAGCTCTAAGGTATTAAAAACCCCCTCATAAAATGCTTTCATTTCTAGGAGACACTAAATGCAAAACCTAGGGTAAACGCTGTGGCAAAATCCAGTGTCTCTAAACTGGACTCAGGTGGAATTTAGATGCCAAGTGCAGACTTTTTTGGAGGGGAAAGGTTAGATTGTGTTAAATGGGGGGCAGGTGCAATCTGCAGGAGTGATGGGGGGCAGGTGACATCTGTGGGAGCGATTGGCGGGGGGGGG